TGTGTTCATCCAGCTCTACACCTTGTTATCTCAGATTCTCCAGCATCTGCAGTTCCTACTATCTCTGACCAGGTGTGTAGTTGAGGGCAGTACATTCGACTTGGACTTCAGCAAGGCTTTTGATAAAGTCCAGCATGGGAGATAGATAGCAAAGCTATTAGCCCATGTGAGCCAAGGAAATTTGTCTAATTGGATCCAGAATTGGCTGATTGACAGAAAACAGTGGGTGATGATCAGGGATGTTTTTGTGACTAAGTCTGGCCAGTGGAGTTCTGCAGGGATCCGTGTTGGGGCCCTTGATGTCTGTGGATAATATAAATGATTTAGACTTGAATGTCAGAGGGTTGATCAGTAAGTTCACAGATGATATAAAAAATTGGTGAAGTGGTAAATAGTGGTGACAACCTTAGATTACAGGAGAACATAGATGGGCTGGTCAAATGGGCTGATAAATGGCAAATGGATTTCAATGTGGATACATATAAGGTAGGATGCTTGGACAGGACAAACTAGGCAAACATGATGAATGGTAGGACCCTGGGAAGCACAAGGATCAGAGAGACCTTGGTGTGCATGTCTGCCAGTCACTTAAGGTAGTGGAACAGTTAGATAAAGTGGTTAAGAAGGTATATGGATACTTGCCATTATTAGTCAAGACATAAAGTTTAAGAACAGGAAGATGATGCTGGATTTAAAAAGTTGGTTGGACCGCAACTAGAATATTGTGTGCAGTTTTGGAATCCACATTTAGAAGGGATGTGATTTCACTGGAGAGGTGCAGAGGAGATTTACCAGGATGTTGCCTGGGCTGGAGAGTTTTAGTTATGAAGAGACTTTTGGATAGACATGGGTTGTTTTAATTGGAGTAGAGGAGACTGAGAGGAGTCATGATTGAGATCTATAAAATTGAGGGGCATGGATAGAATAGACAGGAAGGAACTTTTCCCCTTGGTGGAGGGATCAATGACCAGAGGGCTTTGATTTAATGTAAGAGGCAGGAAGTTTAGAGAGGATGTGAGGTAAAATCTTTTTAATAAGAAGGTGATGGGAATTTTGAACTCACTGAGGGTGGTAAAGGCAGAGACTCTCATAACATTTAAGAAGTATTCAGATGTACACTTGTGATGCCAAGAATAAAAGGCGATTAGCCAAGCGCTGGAAAATGGGATTACAATAGTTAGGTGGTTGTTATTGACCAGCACAGACTCAGGGACTGAAGTGCATTTTTCTGTGCTGCAGATTGCTGTGATTCTATGACTCTATGTTGGACTCTGACACCAGAGGGGGAGATCCAGAGAAGCAAGCAGCAAGCTGACATTGCCAGGTACCCGCATTGTCACAGGAATTGTCACAGTTTAATTTCTATCCAACAGATGGGAGAATGGGAAGCTACATATTAATGAAACAAGATTAGGTAATACTGAGATGTTAATCAATGCAAATAGGTTCACTTGCTCATCAATAAGAATCTTGTCTTGCCATTCAAAACTTGGTTTGAAATTGAGTTATTTTGCTGTCAACATAGAGAAGCACCTCATAGTCTATCCCATGCAATTTTCCCAACTTTCTCGCCAATGTCCACTGATAGATTCCAGCCACTGTCATTATCTTCACAGATGCTGTCTAACCTTTGAATATTTCCAGAACTTACTGTTTTTTAAAACAATTTGAGCAAATAAAACAGGACTATTATTGTTTCATTTTTTTAATGAGATTGGTTGTCGATGACAAAGCCATCGTTTATTGTCTGTCCCTAATTACTCCTGAACTAAGTGGTTTGCTGGGCCATTTCAGAAGGCAGCTAAGAGTCACCTTCCTCTATGTGGCTCTGAAGTAGCAGACCAGACCAGGCCAGACCAGACGATCAATCAATGACACTTCCATGAGACCAACTTTCAATTCCAGGTTGATAAATCAAATTTAAGTTCTAACAACTGCTGTGGTGGAATTTAAATCCATTGATATAACCACAGTCCACCATCTCTCTGAGAGAAATAGAGCTAGTAATATGATTTATATTATACGTGAGTAAAAAAGGAAATATGGCGTGGAAAATACAAGTCACTGCATCTGAGGCATTATAACTGCACCTAATACTGGTAAAATGGTAATAATCTATATATCATTACAATTCCTGTGTGGCACAAAAAATCTAACCTGTTGCTGCAATTTTGGTTATGCTTTTTTGTCAACATTTTATCATTGAATTTGTTTCCTGGTTCCATCGTGCTCCTTGCAGGACCATATGATGCATTCCATTGGCACTGAATGAAAAGTCACACTGGATTGGGCAAAATCCGTGTAGTCTGATTGATAGTATCTACTAAATTGTTTGCGGCATTTTCTGTATCACCTGTAGTTGCCTCTAAATGAATGTGGAGAATTATTTTCACAGGGTCAAATTCAACAAAGAACCAATGTAAACATATAAATTAGAAGACCATCTGAAATTAGAGTAATGGGGGCGATGGTGGCATTGGGTAATGTACAGCAATGTAGTTGATTCTTAACTGTTCTGGCCAGCTACTCAGTTCAAGGTCATTTAGGTGACATTTAGACGTATGCAACAAATGGTGGCTTTGTCAACAACACATAGAAAATAGGAGCAGGAGTAGGCTGTTCAGTTCTTAGAGCCTACTTATGATATCAGAATCCCTACAGTGTGGGAGCAGGCCATCTGGCCCATTGAGTTCACACTGACCCTGTGAAGAGCATCCCGTCCTGACTCACCTGCCCTACCCCTGCATTTCCCACCCTAGACACTGGGCAATTTAGCGTAGCCAATCCACCTAACCTGCACAACTTTGGACTACAGGAGGAAACTGGAGCACCTAGAGGTAATCCACACAGACGCGGGAAAAATGTGCAAACTCCACACAAACAGTCACCCGAGGCTGGAATTGAACCCGGGTGCCTGGTGCCATGAGTCAGCAGTGCTAACCACTGAACCACTCTGCCATTCAATATGATCATGGCTGATTATCTAACTCGGTACCCTGTTCCTGCTTTCTCCCCATACCTTTTGATCCCTTTAACCCTAAGAATTATATCTGTCTCCTTGAAAACCTTCAATCTTTTGACCTCAACTGCTTTCTGTGGCAGAGAATTTCACTGGCTGACTACTGTTTGGGTGAGGCAATTTCTCATCTCAGTCCTAAATGACCTACTCCATATTCTTAGATTGTAACTCCTAGTTCTGGATTCCACGGTTAACAGGGGAATCTTTACTGTATTTACCTTGTCTAATCATGTTAGAATTTTGTAGGTTTGTATTTCTCATTCTTCTGAGCTCTGATAAATATAGTCCTGACCAATCCAATCTCTCTACATATGTCAGTCGTGCCATCCTAAGTATCACTCTGGTAAACCTTCATTGCTCTCCCTCCACAGGCAGATATCCTTCTTCAGATAAGGAGACTGAAATGGCACACAGTATGCAGGTGTGGTATCACCAAAGCCCTATACAATTGCAACAAGACATCCCTGCTCCTGTACACTCATCCTCCAGCTATGAAGGCCAATGTACCATTTGCCTTCTTGACCACCTGCTGTATTTGCATGCTTGCATTCAATGACTGGTGTACAAGGTCACCCAAGTTGTTGCACACACCACCCCCACCCCTCCAAACCTCATTGCCATTCAGATAAAAATCTGCCTTCCTGTTTTGGCTACCAAAGCTTGTAACTTCACATTTATCCACATGATACTTCATTCACCAAGCATTCGCCCACTCACTCAACTTGTCCAAATCATACTGAAACATCTCTGCATCCTCCTCACAGCTCACCTTCCCACCCAGCTTTGTGTCATCTCAAACATGAAGATGTTACATTAATTCCATTTCTATATATTGTGAATAGCTGGGATCCAAGTACTGATCCCTACAGTACCCCACTAGTTACTGCCAGCCACTCAGAAAAAGACCTGTTTATTCCTACAGTTTGTTTACTGTCATAAACAGTATCTTTGTCCATGTGAGTACACTATCCCTAATCCCATGTGCTTTAATTTTACATGCTAGTCTCTTACGTAAACCCTTATCAGAAACCTTCTGAAAGTTCAAGTAAATCACATTCATTGCCCCCCCCATCAACTCTACGAGTAAGATCTTCAAAAGATTCTAATAGATTTGTCAAGCATGATTTCCCTTTCATAAATACATACTAACTCTCTCTGATCCTGTCACAGTTTTCCAAGTATTCTGCTATTATATTTTTTTAGAATGAACTCTAGCATTTTGGCTACTACTGATATCAGGCTAACTGGTCCATGATTCCCTATTTTCCCTCTGCCTCCTTTTTTTAGCTCCTTTTTTTAGGGTTACATTAGCTATCCTCTAATCCATAGGAATCCAGAGAATCCCATGAAAAAATAAAGAAAAACCAAAGGACAGTGATAGTGGTCAGCATTGTCTGTCGGTGCCATCCTCGGCAGGAATCAGGTTAAATTAAGCGGAAGCCCCTTGAAACAGGACAGACTATCCTTGCAAACCCCTGGGGAATTTCCTTCACTTTAGCAGCCTTCAAAAAGCTCAATCACCTGCATTTTTTTCATTTCCAATAAAAATCCTGATTATTAGTTGTCTTCGAGTCTCCTGTTTGTCTCCAATCTTGATAAAGAATACAAATGGATTGAGATTGTTCCGAGGATGGCTAAAAATATATATTTATGAATTTCTTGTTCCTGCTGGATATGTGCTTCTTACAAGCATTCAAAACTGCACCCAAAGCTACACTAATGTAGTGATCTTTTTTTAATTGAATGTAAATATTTCCAATTGGGTTTTTCAGTGAAACAAATTAGTTACTGGTTCAAGCTTAACCAATGGAGGAAAACCAAAGCATGAAAATCTGGACACGTGAAGGTTAAATTTTAAAAATAACTTATTTAAGATCAGCTCTTTAAGCTTAACATATGCAAAAGTCATTCTTTCTTCATTTTTTGAGGTATTAACCTACTTCAAATAAGTAGTAACTCTTTTCTATGCACAGTAATATATAAATATATGTGATTGTAATTGAGCATTAAAAATTCACTTTAGTTTATTTATACCTTTGTCAGCAGCTATGAAAAGGATGTTTCCAAAAGATCATGAGAACATTGCACATTTCTTGAATTTGGTATGAAATAAACACCTTAGGGAAAGATCAGCTAGAGTAACAAAGAAGGAAATCCTGTTTATAGGCACTGAATATTAAAGGGTCATTTAGTAAACAGACCTAGTAATATTGCTAATTTTGCTTCCAACATGAATTTTTATGACTGTATAAACTCTTCTGTTGCGAAGAATCACATGTTGGAGGTAACTGCTTTCGCTCTTTCATTGACTGAAAAACTAACTGTTTAGAATTCTGTGAAGAGAAATCGGAGATAATGTTTTCGGTCCAGTTCTGAGGAAGGGTCACTAAACCCGAAACATTAACTCTGATTTCTCTCCACAGATGCTGCTAGACCTGCTGAGCTTTTTCTGCAATTTCTGTTTTTGTTTCTGATTTGCAGCATCCACGGTTCTTTCGGTTTTAATGCTTAGAATTCTAATTGGCTTTATGTGGTATTGATCGTTGATGTCCAGTCATTAAATGGGGAAAAAGGATTCCAACATAATAAAATCACAAGCAACATAAAACTTATCCATTTTATGAAAATTACAAAATGGTTTTCTATAAAACCTGGGTGCAATATGTAATTTGTAATTCATTTCTAAATAATTTTTTTAATAAATTAGAATTCTGGCTTCATTTTTCTCTGTGACATGTAATTTTTCACGTTGCTTTTGACAAGCCCATTGACCAGTCAAGAAAAGAAAGGATCAATGTTTCTTGAAGAGCTAATAATTTTGTCGGATCAAAGTGATTCTCTCTCTAAATATGAAAATCCAATCCTGGATACTCTGCACAATTCTCAGAGAAGGCAGCTGCTAGACAGACACAGCACGTGGAAAAAATATGCTGTTACAGCCTTACCTTAGATCTGACACCATCAAAACTGTGCTAACCTGTTTTCTAATGGAGTTACCCTGAAGACATACATAGCCTATTCCCACAACGTGAAGAGAAAGCTGAAATGGAGAAACTCATCATTCAGAACTATAGTATTTCAAATAACACAGATACTTTTAAACATACTTAGGTTAAATAGATAGGGAACTGTATATGCCCCAACCCTAATTATATTGACTCCAGGTATTGTCACCTCTAACAAATCCCTGAATTGAGGAAGTGGACAATTTGTGCTAAGTATTAAGTCATTTTTAAATGTAGTGAAGTTGGTTTTTCTTCATTCTTGTGAATGTTATCCTTTTTATTTAACATTAACACATTAATTTTCTTCTAAAGAATTTATATTAGATTAGATCAAGTTATTACATGTACCTGAGTGCAAGTGTGCAGTGAAAAGTATATAGCCTTGCCACTGTTCGGTGCCATCTTGGAAGACAATAGTTAGAATTAAAAACCAAAATTAAAGAATCAGAAAGAAAGGGAAAAGAAAATGTCCAGATCACACTTGCTGGCTCCACCATGAATCGTGAGCCAGGCTTACCAGCACCACCTATGCCGGATGCATCAATGCCATGGTACTGCCACCAATGCCACTGTCTTGAATACTGCACCTCGCCACCACCTGCATCAGACCCACCAAAAATGCCACTCTCCAGTGCCATCACTTGCCACTGGGCCCACCTCGCCAACACCATCTTGGAATCAATTGAAATATTATAGTCCACAACCTTCTTGAACAAATGCAAGAACGTAACCCGTTGAACCAGTGCTGACTTCAGAGCTGCTGTCGATGCCGATGCCGAAGCCACTACCACTGTATCGTGTCATGCTGTGGACCCTCCAGTGTCAAAGTCGCCATGCTCTGGTGCTATCTTTTGCCACTAGGCCCATACTCGTTGTGTCGCAGCTGCTGTAGGTGCCCATGCAATCCTAGGTGAAAGATAAGAGAACTGTAGAGAAAAGAAGAGTGAAAAGGGAAAAAGCAAAACAGAAGAAAGCAATGGATGAGCAGGAGCCTGAAAGCGGCTATTCTGCCATTGCCATCTTCACCTTTCAGCATTTATATTACTAGTGAAAACCATACAAAATAACTTGCCAATGTTTGGCACTTTCAATTAGTCAGACTTTGTTTTGCCCATTTAATCTCCCAAATACTTGCACTTAAGTTATTGGAAGTGTGAGTCAGAAATAGAAGTCCCTTCCATAGGTTATTGGGTATTGACTGAACAGGCATGGTGTGTCTCCTTAACCCATCTGCTTGAAATATTATGAAACAACTATGAAAAGGAAATTCGAGTTGTGTGGGTAGATTCAATGTCTAAACAAGTGCAGGAAAAGAAAGGGTGAAAAATGATTGGGTTAGGAAAGTAGAGAATAAGGGTAAAGAGAAAAGTTATAATGTTTAATTTAATGATTTCCAACATCACTTAAACAAGGTGAAACTAGACTTTGCATTTGAAGTTCAGCAGTTCATTTTCAATGCCAGAAAGAAAGACCAATTATAATTAAAACTTATCATATTTTTAAAAGGTACTTTGATTTGGAATGACATTTCTTATTTTTTGTGGTAACTTTATAGATACTGTTCAAGTAAAGGAACTTTGCACCTCTCAGTGCTTTTGAAAGGTAAGCTAGATGACAATATGCTGATTTGCAAAACTAATAATGAAACTGAACATCTCTGACAACAACCTTTTGATTTCTGCATTTAATTATGATTCTTCTTGCCTAAGTTGTTGACATTTGTACCAAAATAACAGCAAGTACTATCAATCTCTCTGTTAGTATGAAAGCAGTTTTTGGACTATTTTCTGGAATTAGCTTGTATTATCTGCTATCCTGACATTTCTGTCCTCATGTCAGAAAGTTGCTTCACGTTACCATATTAATAATACTTCTCATTTCCCAGAATCATATTTCATATTCATTTTGACACAACGCAATCAGTCATTTTATCTCCTATTTTGTTTTTCTAAAAGGTGAACTATATATATCATTGATTTTGCTTCTAAATGAAATTTTGTACACAGTTCATGAACATTGATGTTTTTCTTTAACCTTTCATCAGTAGAATAACCTTTATTCAGTTGTACGCTTACATAAATTGTCTGGCAAGGAACAATGTACCATTTCACAAGTATAAAGCAGCATCAATTACCATTGTAAATTATTCTGTACAATTTGGTCAATGAGTTACTGTAATTGCATTAGTAATTCTATTGTTGTACAGCATGATTATAATGTTACAATCTGCAGTCCATCTCAAGGCACTTCATTGCAACAGACAGATCCAATAAGCTGAATCTGCCATTATGCTTAAAGTGCTTGAGGACAGCATATTTTGGAGTTAGTAATCCATCTTGTATTTGTAAATATGCACCGGAAATAGTAAGGATTATCCACTACAAACTCTTCATCACCCCAATAACTGAATGCCACAGACAACACGTATTTTAATTAAAATGATTTTTATAATTCATATATTACAAATTTATTCAGTACAACAACAGGCAGTTAAAATATTTATTTGTCACTTAAACCTCACTAATCCTTATGATTAATCCTTGAAGCTAAAATAACAGCATAATGGTTTCCTTAGGATTTCTAGTATTTTTGAATGATCTATTGAATTCTTGTCAAACATATTTTACAGTAAGAAATATAACAAAATACAGTGAAAAGCTTTCATATGTCACCACAATCCAGCACTATTTTGATAGTTTAAGAATAAGGAAAAAATTAAAAGATATGGATTAAACAGAAGACCATCTGTGTTTGAGTTCTGCGCTGGTGCTCAGAATAACATTGAAGTTACTCATCCTCAGTCGCCATCTTTTGCTACTGGGCCGATTCACCCTCACCGCTGCCACCTGTGCCACACCCACGGCTGACAGAGTCATGTCTCTTGCTGCTAGGCCCACCTTGTTGAAGTTACTGTGATGCCCTTTCACTGCTGCCAGTGCCAGACCCAATCAACTATGTGGTTGCCGATCTTCAGGTGCCATCTTTTGCTGCTGAGCGTAGCTTGCCAACATTGCCTCAGGCCTTGCTCTCCCCACCTCACTGGGCTCACTGTCCCTTCTGTGCAGGGCTCATTCACCCGTCGGCACTGGACCGGCTCTCCCCTCCGTGCTGTGCTCGCTGTCCCCATGCTGGCTCACTCCCATCCTCCAGAAGTACGTGCAGGGATAACTTGCTGTCATGACGCCCTCCGAAATCTCAACAGCAGTAAGTAAAGTAAAAAGTAAGTAAAAGAGACGAAAAATAAAAACAAGAAAAGAGAAAAAAGAAAAGTGGACAGTGTGGACGAGTCCCGAGCTCAAGAGCCCAACTCTGCAACATCTTGGATAGTAGGAACTGCAGATGCTGGAGAATCTGAGATAACAAGGTGTAGAGCTGGATGAACACAGCAGGCCAAGCAGCATCATAGGAGCAGAAAGGCTGACGTTTTGGGCCTAGACCCTTCATCAGAAATGCGGGAGGGGAAGGGGGTTCTGAAATAAATAGGGACAGAGGGGGAGGCGGTTAGAAGATGGATAGAGGAGAAGATAAGTGGAGAGGAAACAGACAGGTCAAAGAGGCGGGGATGGAGCCAGTAAAGGTGAGTGTAGGTGGGGAGGTAGGGAGGAGACAGGTCAAGGGGGCGGGATGAGGTTAGTAGGTAGGAAATGGGGGTGCGGCTTGAGGTGGGAGGAGGGGATAGGTGGGAGGAAGAACAGGTTAGGGAGGCGGGGACGAGCTGGGCTGGTTTTGGGATGTGGTAGGTGGAGGGGAGATTTCCGTCCTCCCTGGACTGACCTATCTCCTCCCTACCTCCCCACCTCCCCACCTACACTCCCCTTTACTGGCTCCATCCCCGCCTCTTTGACCTGTCTGTCTCCTCTCCATCTATCTTCTCCTCTATCCATCTTCTATCCGTCTCTCCCTCTCTCCCTATTTATTTCAGAAACCCCTTCCCCTCCCCCATTTCTGATGAAGGGTCTAGGCCCGAAATGTCAGCCTCTCTGCTCCTATGATGCTGCTCTCTGCAACATCTTGACCAGCTAATAATATTGTTTGTTTAATTTGTCAATTTTTTTTCTTAATTTGTCAAAATATTTCAACTCCATGGAGGTCCATCTTGCTGCTGTAACCATACTATAGTTTGAAGTGAAGATGTAGCAGAAGATTAGGAAATATATTTGGTTGGTTGGCTGGCTGATTGCACTTCAAATCAAAGGCTTTTTAACACCAGCAAATAACTCAGATGAAATCCTAAACACCTTCCCACATTTTGGGAATCAGTCTTAATTATTTCCATCATCTGAGTCCATGGGCAGCAGTAGCAGTCAAATAAGCTGTTTAATTGTTTGGGTCTGCTATTAGAATTTCATTAGACCCTATACTGTGCTTAATGGCTGCAGCAATCACAGCTCACATCTGCTTGTATAATGTTCCATCCAAAAATGACCAAAACACGAGCAAATGAGATCACCTCAGGAGTAGCTGTAATGCAGTGCACTAGACTAACTGCAGTTTTACAAGCAAATATAAAATTATCACACATTTTTAGTGTGTAAAATAGAATGAAGCCCAAGTACCTGTCACTAGAGACCCATGTTAATTAGTTATTTGTCTCTAGACCAATCACCATGGAAACTAGTGTATTTGAAACAGATTTATTCTTGCCCATGCCACATAACAAAAATAAAACAGAATCTTATTTATCTTTTGTAAAATCAACTTGTATCTTAAAACTGGAACTTAAAAATATCTTGTTCTTCACTGCTTTTAGCAATCATTTTTTGCTTCAGTGTATTGATGAGTTATAGAATGCAAGTGTGTAACGAAACAGAGATAATAAACTTTCATGCTTCACACTGCTACTTGCGAAAAGAAGACCCTAACTTGTATCTGCTATTCCATTCATTTACCAAAGCTAGAAATTAGATTTTGTGTTTGTTAACTTTGCTTAATATTTCCTCCCTAGCCCTTCTTCACTTTCATGTGGCCAAGCCATGCTTGGACCTATTGAGGGCTCAAATGCCTCCTTCCACACCCATGTATGTTATCTGTGGCAGAGGGAGACCCACACCAGCTCTCCCTTGTCTTCCCTTGTCAACATATTGCAGGGATTATTTTCTGAAGAAGGGTCTCGGCCCGAAACGTCAGCCTTCCTGCTCCTCTGATGCTGCTTGGCCTGCTGTGTTCATCCAGCTCTACAACTTGTTATCTCATATTGCAGGGACTGTTCCCTCTGGGATAACCTGGTCCACATCTCCTCCACTGGCAAAATGCCCTCACACCCTCATAGCACCTTCCCATGCAATCACAAAAGTTACAATGTTTGCCTATTTACCTCCTCCCTCCTCACTATTCAACGCCCCTGACACACCTTTCAGGTGAGGAAGTGATTTACCTGCACTTCATTCAGTCTAGTCTATAGCGTATTTGCTGTTCACTACGAAGTGGTCTGTACACCAGGGAGACAAAACGCAGACTGGGTGACCGCTTTGCCAAACACCTAGGCTCTATCCCAAGCTTCCGGTTTACTGTCACTTCAATACATCACCATGTTCCCATGACAACATTTCTGTGTTATGCCTGTTGCAGTGCATCAGCAAAGATCAGTGCAAGGTGGAGGAATAACATCTCATCCAAGGGCTTAGGTACCTTATAGCCTTCGGGACTCAACATGAAGTTTAACAATTTCAGAACGTGAACACATCCCTTCATGTTTGTTACTCGCCCCAAATCCCGAGGTCCAGCTCTGCATGGGTTACTCTCAGAAAACCAACTAATTTTCAACTTTTCACTGTTCCCATTATCACCTATTTAGCATTTATAACTATCAGCAACCCTATTGTCTACTTCCTTTTTGTCCCCCCCCCGCCCTTGCACTGCCTCCATCTATTCTTATCACTCCCTCCCTCCCCGCCTCCTATCATCAACATAATAACAACATTTCTCAGCTAGTTTGAGTTCTGGCAGAGGGCCACTGGACCCGAAATGTTAACTCTGTTTTTGTCTCCACAAAAGTTGCCAGACCTGCCAACTTTCTCCAGCAGTTTCTGGCTTTGTATCATACTCCTCCCCCACCCCACCCTACCCCACACTGATGTGGGTTTTGCCTCCTGTAAGTTATTTAATCTAATGTAGCAATGTTTATGTCATCCCTCAACATAAGAAACTAGATTTGTATAAGGTAGTATTGAAATAGCTAACAAAATGATGTACACCGACATTACATTCTCAAGTACATCATCGCTTGGATTATTTTCAAGCTATTTGGTTACAGCACAAGAGCATGCTTCTAGTAGCATGTCATGCTTCACATGTTCCAGGTCACGGTGAAAGATGCAGTCTTTATACCCTAGATTACATGCCATGATACAGTGATGACACCATTAGCATGTTTTTTTAAGGATGTACTGATATAGCGTACTGAAAGCAGAGCTAACGAAACTGAAGTGACAAATTAAGGGGTGGATCAATAGAGATGTAGACATTTGAGAGGATATTTCAGAATATGCAAGGTAGTTATATTTCAACAGAATAGAAAACCTACAAGGAGAGAATATATCATCTATTGCTAACTAGGAAAAGTTAAAGATAGTATTAAAATTAAAGAAAAATCATATAATTACGCAAAGGTGGGTAGCAGGTCAGACGATCGAATAATTTTTTAATAGAAAAAGCAAAGATTGACTAAACGGTTAACAAGGAGAAAAGAATAGAATATGAGAAAGAGCTAACTAAGAATATAAAAACAGTAAGCATTTTGATGGATATTTAAAAAGGAAAAGAGCTAACAAAGCAAATGTTGCTTTTATAGAAATTAATCATAGAAAATAAGGAAATGCACATGAACTGAACAGGTATTTTGTATCTGTCTTCACCGTACAGAATGCAGTAACATCCCAGAGATAACTGTAATTCAGGAAATGGAAGGAAGGATGGAACTTAGATAATTACAATCTCAAGGGTACTTAAACAAATTGCTTTAGCTGTGTGCTGACAAATCTCCAGGTCCAGATGAACTTCATTCTAGGCTATTTGAAAGAAGTGGCTAATGAGAAAGCTGATGCATTGATTTTAATTTTCCAAAATTCCCTAGATTCAGGGCATGTTCCATTAAAATGGAAACTAATGAATACAATGCCTTTATTCAAAAAGTGACTGACTGAAACAGAATGAAGGAAACTACAGGCCAGTTAGGTTAACATTTGTCGGAGGGTAGATGTTAGAAACTATTATTAATGAGGTTATCGCAAGGCATTTAAAAAAGTTGAAGGAAGGTAATCAGGCAATTCAGCGTGGTTTTGTGACAGGGAAATCATATTTAACTAATATCTTGAAGTCCTTTGAAGAAGTAAGGTGCTGTGGATAAAGAGGAACTGGTGAATGTACTATTCATCAGGTTTCCAGATGGCAGTTGATAAACTTAAAGGCATTAATTTTCCTTGGTTTTCATGTATCCGTATAATCAGTTTTCTTCCGGTTTGGCCTATGTAGTGTTTCTCACAGTCCTTGCATGGTATTTTGTATATTACCCCAGTTTTGCTGGTTTTGGGTATGGGATCCTTTGTGTTCGTCAGTAGCTGGCGTTTGTGGGCTACTCTGAAACTGACA